TCTGCATCCCAGATTGGTACCTTAATGAATTCAGCTTAACGCAGCACAGAGATTCAATTCCCTTCAGCTTTACACAAGTGCATTGTAAACATGTATTTCCATATAAAGCATTGCATTACAGTACCAGTATGACAAGGTGTTGTCTGCCCTATCGGTACAACATCTTCCTGAACAGCATTTAAATTGGTCTAATCTTGTTTTTAAGTGGCTCTAAAACACATCTAGTAAGTCATGTGTTATAAGGATATATGTCGGCAATCTTTAATCAAATGATGATTGAACAAGAGCTGTCGCAAAGAACGCCGTCAAATCTAATCTGTCCACGTTGGAAATAAAACTAAACTTTGATACACCGCAGAGAACGATCAAATTTGACCTTGATTCAATATTTGGTACCACTTTACAATAAGACTACCCTTATAAAGGGTTTACGAATAGTTTGTAATTCATTTATTAATTAGGTTGTGAACACTTTATAAATCCTTCATAAGCTTTTATAAGACATGAGATAAACAGGGCAACTGTTACCGGTTGCTTGCCAAATAGTGAACCCACATGTATCTGTACTGCTAAGCCTTATTAGAAATGGTAGTAACTCATTAATAAATGGGAATGTGTTTTACACTCTACAACAAGGATCCCTTTTGGCAACTATAAATGTTAGTAACTCATAAATAAATGGTCATAAAGAGATGCCAAGAAACATCAAGATGGAAGGGGGGGGGAATCAACTCAGTGAACAACAGATACCAAGGATGCTGGCTGATGAAGAAGACGAAGTAAGCTAGGTAACCAATATAAGGCTTAGTCATCTTGCCAAATAGTGAGCCTGTGTTGATGTATGAAAACTATGTTAGAACTGGTTTATAAATGGTTCTTAATGATTAATAAAGTGTTTACAACCTAATTATACCTAATTATAAACCCCAGCCAATGTTCCTGGAAGACAGATGTCTCCGATTATCTCCGGTATGTCATTATAAACTAAACAACGCAAAGTTACGTAACAAACCATATAAAAAAATAACTTAAAAATATACTTGTCTTTGTTATATTATAGGAAATTTCTGGGCTGTCGCCGTAAGTTTAGTTCCAATGACCATAATTGTGACTCGTACAAAATAAACACATTACAAATTTACTTACCTAAATCTTTCTGTATATAAATATATACAGGTCTAGGGAAATTCGTCACCTGTAGCAACTTGCAAGTAGAAAGTAATGTTCGGCTATTCTATAAACCTGAAATTACTCGGGTAACCTTAAAAACACTACATCTCGAAAGAGATTGGTTCGTTAACTATTGTAGGTTCTGGACAGAAACGAAAATAATTGTTATTTTGTTGAAAAAAATTATTTTACACCAAAAATATATATATCCGCGGATGTATATACATACATTTTATTGAAATGTGAATCAAGCGAAGTATAGACAAATGTGTTTGGTGTAAATGTAGACTATGTGTACGCTCTACAACAATATAACGTTTTGATTTGAAACTAAAACTAATTAAAAGAGATGTTTGCCTCCCCGTAAGTCCGCTCATCAATTCTATACTCTCCATTTCTTAATGAGGGTGACATGGTACAACCAGTTGAAATGTTATTAGATAATATGTTC